CGCAGTTCGCTCTCATGGCCGTCCGTTACCCGCTCGCTCTGACTGATTCCGCGAGTAACGAACCCGTCCGTCCGCTCGCCCCAACTCTAGCACACAGACACACGGTCTTGGTTTTGTTTCAACTTCATGAGTTCATACTTTGAAAGTCATCGGGGAAACCAAAACTGTCTTAATTGACATCTTCGACAAAGTTTGGGGTTTTTTCACAGGTGTCCACACATTGTGTGTACTTAGCATTTCAGTGGCAGTGGGGTGAAATGTTTCATGTTTGAACCTTGATGAACTACGGGATATTTAGCTGCTTGGGTGTAGATTTGTCAAGGTGCAGGATCCATGTCATTTGTTTGTTTTGAGGGACTGACTGTTACATCTTCTGGTGGAGATCAAATTTTACCCCCCGGGGCAGGGCCACTGACTGAAGTGTCTTTAGGCCTTTCCCAAAGGGGGGACATTTCTCGTTCAAGCATAATAGAATTGTAAATGGGCTGACTCATGTCACGCTCGTAACTGTGCCTGGTCTACAACAGGGAACTGCTGCTTTTTCTTTCCTAATCCTTACTATTGTCATTTTCCTTTACTTCTTTTGCATGTTTGTCACTCTCTTGTGACCTGCTATTTCCGGGGTGCCTTGATAGTCGAAGCAGAGCTTGTGCTGTTGAAGCTAGAGAGATGAGCAGTCTAAGTCTGATTCCCTGTAAAGACTTCTCTGTTGACACCCACCCCTTGGTGCTCATATGACCTAATGCAGTTGCGAGGGCCGTAAAACCCTCTACTATTTTTTTTTTTATAAAGAGATCAAATTTCCTGACTTCCGTCATGATTTTTTTTGCCTGCAGGTGACTCAGGAAATTTGTGATAAAACGCGGAAGTTCAGACTGCTTGGTTCTGACAGGTAAGATTTATGTTGTGGGTGTGTGAAAGTTGCTCTACGTACGGGTAGGTGTTGTTGGTACCTTTGTGCAATGTGGAAAATGTTGTTGGTGTGACATTTTAAGCGTATGTTTTGTTATTTGTTGGTAGATATGTATGTTGAGGATATGGTTGTGCTTGGTGAAATATATTCAGCAAACGTATTATTTTTATGTGAAAAAACTTTCATTTGGACAATGTATGTTGAGGATATGGTTGTGCTTGGTGAAATATATTCAGCAAACGTATTATTTTTATGTGAAAAAACTTTCATTTGGACAATGTATGTTGAGGATATGGTTGTGCTTGGTGAAATATATTCAGCAAACGTATTATTTTTATATGAAAAAAGTTTCATTTGAACAGACGGAAGGGTTGTTCTGTGACAACCTTTTTGCTGTACTTTATTGGCATGGAGTGTTGCTCTGGGCTATATGTTTTGGGAATACAAATCTGGTCGTGCAGTGGGTGGTTGGCGGGTGCTCTGGTGTGGTTTGCTTCTTCATTCTTATGAAACATCTATCGTCCTTATCTCCCCTTCTT